GACATCACGCACCTAGACAAGAAAGTCGCTGTCAGCATCCAGGTTTAGGCGCTTGACCTCATGACTCATGCCATGGATGCGCGCAGATGTGTGTCTGCGCTAATCATTTGTATATCGTCATCTTCCGATGATATCTATTACATGCATGTGTCGCGGATTGTCTCGCGCCGCGGACCTCCCCGCGCCGCGGATCGCGTAGCGCCGCGGTCCTCCCCGCGCCATCGCGGATCGCGTAGCGCCACGGTCCTCCCCGCGCCATCGCGGATCGCGTAGCATCGCGGTCCTCCCCCTACCCGCACGAATCGCCGTAGAATATCTCCTTCCCCGCGCCCCGCGGATCGCCGCGGAATATCTCCCTCCCCGCGCCCCGCGGATCGCCAAGCGTCGTGGAATAATAAGCGTGGAACTCTCTGACATCATGCGCCTTGATAAGAAAGTCATCAGCCAGGTTTCGGCGCTTGATCCCGTGACTCATACCCGCCCAGGTGTTCGATGACAGGTCAGCACCTAGATATCTGTTACATGTCACGTAGTGACAGGTCAGCACCTTGCGTGACGTCAAGGTCGCGTACTCCCCCTCCTCCCCGCGGTCCCCTCGCCCCGGAGTACCCCCCTCCCTGCTGTCCCCTCGCCACGGGGTACCCCCCTGCCCCGCTCCCCCCTCGGAGCCCCATGGGTTAGAACCGGCCTATATACCCTACTAGTGTCGTCTTGTTAGCAGCGGGTTTTGCGGTAGCTGGTTGTATGCTGGCCACCGCTACTGCCCTACATGTCACTTCGTGTATCCTGTCCGCTTGTTCAGCGACTTCATCGAGATTGTCTCCGTTGCGTGTGGCCAGGATAGCCTGTAGCTGTGCCGGTAATCGTCCCATCCACAATGTCCTCAGCAATTGTTCTGGGATAGCGGAGCTCGCCAAAGCTTGCAGGTGCCGCAGGAATTGTGATGGTCTTCGGTCGCCCATCTCTTCGTGCTCTAGTAATTGTCGGATCTGTTGTTCTTGTGACACTGAGAGTCGTTGGATGAGAGCCTTCTTGATACTCTCATATTTGTCTCGCACCGGAGGGTTAGTAATCAAATCTTTGATTTCTTTCGCGTGTCTCGTTTCTACGTGCGATAATACGTAGGCATACTTTGTGCCATCTTGCACGATCTCGCCCAGTGTGAACTGGCTTTCCAGCTGCGCGAACCATAGTTCCGGTTCGTCTGACCAGAATGGTGGTATTTTCAGCGCCACTCGATGTATTTGCGCCTCCGTGGCTGTTGCGTTAGGTGGGTCTTGCGGGTCCGGCATAATCGTATTTATGATCACGTCGGGGTCACCAATTTTGTAGGGTTTCTTGCGGAGAACCGTGGGTGTTCTATGGTTACGTTATTGGTCGCCCTGTAAAGGGCGGTTTGCGTGTGTCGCCCTGAGAAGAGCGGTTACGTGTCTTCTTGGGGCTGGCCTTAGTCTCGAGATCCTCCCGGGGTCGGATCTTCTGCCGGCGGCTCGTTCTCTTTCTCCCCCACCTTCTTCCTCGTCGGTTTCGTCGGCGAGGATCCGAAAAGTTTATCCAGTTGAACGCGTAGTTTCTTGGAGGACTTCCTCCTGCGGCCTGGCGTCCGTGGGCGACCGACGGGTGTTTGAGGAGGAGGACTGTCTAGGCCTGACGTGCCCTGAGTTCCTCTCGGTGAGGAGTGTTGCGCCCCGTCTACAGGTACGGCCTGGAGTTCGGCCGATCCCTGCGGTGACGTCTGAGTGGCCGCTTCGGTGGTGTCGACTCTGCGGTGTACTTGTGTCCCTTGCTCTCGAAATCGGGCTCCTATACTTGTAATCGGCTCTAGTCTCCACGGGATGTAGCTATGTCCGAGTATCGGTGGAGGCCTAGGCCCCTGGCGTAGTCGCGGATCCGATGGCACTACGGGTTGCGACGGTGGTAGAGGCGGTCCGCGCTCTGGGCTTCCCGGTGGACGTCCTGGTGGTGGGACGTCTCGGAGTCGTCGCCGGACTCGTGGCAGGATCCTCGCTGGTGTGCCAAGGCCCTCAGGAGCTCGCTTGGGTCGATGTCGAGGCCCGTGGAGCTCGCTCGATGAAGATATCGAGGCCTTGAAGAAGCTCGCTCGATGGAGATACCGAGGCCCTAGGGGCTCGCTCGGTGAAGATATCAAGGCCTGAGGAAGCTCCCTTGATAGAGATGCCGAGGCCCGCGGGGCTCACTCGGTGGAGATACCGAGGCCTAAGGAGGCTCGCTCGGTGAAGGTACCGAGGCCTAAGAAGGCTCGCTCGGTGAAGATATCGAGGCCTAAGGAGGCTCGCTCGATAGAGATTCCGAGGCCCAAGGGGCTCGCTCGGGGCAAAATAATCGAGGCCCGTGGGGCTCACTCGATCAACACTTGGTACTGTCGACTACTTCACTCGCGAACTGTCTCCGACAAGAAACACTTATTGAAATTTCGTCGTCGCCGGAGGTCTTAATATACCCATCGCCACTGAATTTTAAGCGCGAGTATGCTGACGGCGCTGGTGGCCGCCTAGCGGTGCCGCGCCGAACCACCGCCGTGTCACCGGCGCTCGCAGGAGCGGCGCCGTGCCGTGCAGTGCCCGCGCGCCTGATGTGGCGTGAGTCGCCACATTATCTATTTCAGGTTGACACTTTTAAAAAGAAAAAATGGCCTGCTACACCATCGACCAGATTAACAAAAATCCGTGGCTGTCGATCCAAGACGTCGTTGGCGACGCCAAGACGTGGCCACAATTTATAAGAAGTGCAATAGCATATTCAAATAGCGCGCGGCTCCTCGCGTCGCCGCCATCTTACCAGTGTCTGCGCGCGCTGTGGCTACTAATCACCGCATTGGTCGCGTCAGAACCTTTTTTTTTTTTACCCGGTGGGAATCCTCATGGACCGTCCCCCCGTTCCGCTGGGACAGAAAGGGGGGGGTGTGTGGGACTCACCCTCCCTGTAACCCCAGGCAATTGACACCCTGGGGCCAGCGTGCAATGGAGGGCGCCTACCGCACTAAAACCACCGGGGGTAGACTTCTCTGCGCCATATTGAACCGGTCGGGGACTGCGACGCATATCATTCCAGACCGGTTCGGCGCCGCACACCTTCGACATGGTGCGCCCATCTCGGCTCTGACTGAGCCACGTCCATTCGACTTGGACGTTCATCTAGCGCAGGGGTGGGCAAAATGCTGCCCGCGGGCAACGGGCGCCCGCGGGCGCCCGCGGGCATGCCCGCGGGCATGCCCCCACTCCAATCATCGCCCCACCACGTCTCAATCATATTCGGAACTATACTTCTAAAGCGCGACGTTCTTTCCCACTTGCCGAAACTGTCTCCCCACTCTTGCCGAAACTGTCTCCCCACTCTTGCCCGACACGCACAGCTATTGCCCGCGGGCAAACGGGCGCCCGCGGGCAGTGAAAATTGCCCAGGCCTGATCTAGCGCTTTTGAACGCGCCGCGACGGGGGTGCCACCGGGCCCCCGCCGCGCCCCCTAGATGTTGTTGGGGGCGGGCGAGCCAGGGGTCCTCAGCCCCTGACCCGCCCCCTGGGATCTCCCTGACTTCCCAGATCACTTCTCCTTTGAGTCGCCTCTTACGACAGGCAGGAGATACCCCGGGCCTATTCGTCGGCGGGTCCCGGACGCCATGTAAGGGAGATCTCCCCTCCCTTACCGATCGGGTGATCGGTATCCGTGGTCTGAGGGAGGGGGGAGGTAGCAGGCGAACTGACGCCGCCCCTCAGGGCAGGGTCAGCCGCCCCGCGAATCCCACCCTCCTCCCCCAGACCACCTCCTCGATAAGCCAGTAGACCGGCTTCCGCCAATCCTGGGCTCGTTTGTTGCAGGTCCCTTGTTGGCCTCCTCCGGTGGGCACTGGTTTGTCCCACTTCTCTCGTTGGGAGGGTGGTTACCCGTAACGGGCCGCCACCCCTTCTCATTAATCTCCGCGCAGGTGCGCCGGGATTCCTCTTCTCCTTCCTCGTCCCCTTGCACCTCCTCTCTGCACCCCTGGGGGGTCGGTCTCCCCCCTGCGGATGCGCTCCGCCTCCTCCTTCTGCAGCATCACATGCTCACAGAAGGAGGAGAACGCCCTCCACGTCGGCTCTCCCCCCGTGACGGCCTCCACCACCTTCCTGAGCGAGAGGTCCGCTCCCAGGACTCCCATGAGATTCTCTCTCTGGGCCTCCCATGCGGGGCAGGCCTCCAAGGTGTGGGTCGGCGTATCCACCGCTTCCCCGCAGTGATGGCAGACTGGTGTCTGCTCCTTCTTTATCCTATGCAGATACTGCCCAAAGCAGCCGTGCCCGGACAGTATCTGCGACGTCCTATACGACGCCCTGGCCCATATGCGGTCAAGCCAGGCGTCGAGATTGGGGAGTATGGCCGATATAGTTCTTTGGCCGGCGGAGTTCGGATTCGATAGCCGGATCCTCCATTTTTCCCTCAATCGCTCCTTCGATTGGAGATTGACCAGTCTCCTTATCCTTCCCGTGATCGGGACTCCCTCTCCTTTTAACCGGGCAATCCTCTCGTAGGCCTCCGCGTAAGCGCCCGCTAGGAGGTCCGCAGGAGGGATTCCCGCCATCAATGTTGCCGCTGCGTGCGACACAGTTCGGTAGCAACGAGTCACACGCACCGTCATTTTCCTCTGCGTCTGCCGCAGGGCCGCCACGGCCTTTTTGTTGCCCTGTATCGTCTCCGCCCATACTGGAGCACCGTACAGCATAACGGAGTGTACGACCCCCGCGTACAGCCTCCTAACGCGTCCGCTAGGGCCTCCCAGGTTGGGCATCAAACGT